CTGAGAACAGAATAAACTGGTGAATATAAAAGATTCAGGGGCATAGAATGGGAGTGGATTGATAATTCTCAGGGGGAAAGGGGTATAAGGGGAACGGGAAGAGTGGACAAAAATCATACACCTATGGATGAGGCTGGGGGGGAGGGGAGAGGAGGTAAGGGCAGAGGGTGGAGTGGGAAGCGGGTGAAGGGGAGCTATTGGGGGAAAAAAGGAGAAAGAATTGTAATAATTTGAACAATAAAGATTTATTAAATTTAAAAAAAAAACATGCAAGGACTCAGATAATTTATCAGCCATAAAGCTTGTCTGAAATAATTCCTGAAAAATAAATAATGAATCCAGAAAAGAGAATCATGTTATATAAGAAATATATAACATTTCTGGGCAGGGTGGGGTGGGAGGATCCTGCCTTTTTCTCTCACTCTTGATATCTGATCCTCTTGCAAATCCTGTGAGTACTATCTTCAAAACAGACCTGGGATGGAATCCATTTTTACCACCTCCATTGTTACCAACTGGCCTCCCTGTCCCCCCTCCCCGGGTTACTGCAACAGCCCCTTAACTGGTCTCCTTGAATCCTGCATTCTACTCTTCTCACAGCACTCCACACGACATGAGGGATTAACCCCATTAAAATGTTATTCCTCTGCTTAAAACTCTCCAATGTCTTTCCATCTTAAGAGTAAAAGACTTCCAATGGTCCACAAAGCCCTATAAAGTCTAACTTCTCCATGATCTCTTGACATCCATTTCTATGATTACCTCTTGCTCGTTTCCTTTTCCTTAGCTGCAAGAGCTTTCTCATGTTTCTTGAATACTCTAGGCAAGCTTCTGTTTCAGGGCGTTTATACTGGCTGCCGTTAGTTACATCTGCATTACTACTACACCAAATATCCACATGGCACATTCCCTCAGCATCTTTAGGTCTTTGCTGAAATGTCACTGTCTTAGGACATTTAAAAAAAATTTTAATATCGCAACTCTACTTAATAAGCCCATCATTCTATGTTCCCCTTATTTTTTTGTCCATCTCATTTATTATTATCCAATATACGACATACTTTCTTTTTAAACCCTCCTCCAAGGACATGCTGAGAGAACAGAGAGAGAGAGATTGGCTGCCTTCCATACTGCCCTGACTGGGAATTGAATTGGCAACCTTTCGGTGCTTCGGTGCACAGGTACATAGTACTTTTTTGTATCTATTACTACTAAATAGTAACATCCACAAGGGCAAGGATTTTGGTATGTTTTATTCACTACTGTGTTCTCCAAGGCTAGAACAGTGTGAAGATTAAAAAAAAAGATGAAAATCAAGTCAACCCAAATGTATTAAGATTCCTGTTTAAAACTTCATGGGAATTTCTTTTACAGCGTCCACAAGCTATATGAGCTAGAACATTTGCTATCACATGGAAGTTGTGTAGGCTGTATGTATGTACCTGAATATGTGAGGTCTCCCAAAAGTAGATAATATCTAATCAAATTTGGAGAACACAGGATAAAATATCAGAGATTAATTTGTTAATAATCTATTATTACTATGCTTGGTGAACAGTTTAGAAGCCTAGAGCAGTGGTTCTTAAAATATCTATAATTCAAATGACAACATATCTAGAAGCTATGGCCTTCTTTGAAAAACACCATTCATTTAAAACATTTACTAATGCATTAATGAAGGAAGTAAAACATGACCCTAAACACTAAGGATTTTAAAGACTAGAGGAAGAGAGAAAAGTAAGGACCACTTATGTGACAGAAGTGATCGCTAAAGCCTTAAAGAAACACAGTAAAGGAATAGCTCAACTGAGGTGGCTGGAGGCTTATCAATGACTTCTGTAAAGAGCGAACACTGGATTTGACACTAAAGGACAGTAAATTACACAGGTGAAGAAAAGGGGATTTCTAGGTAGCTCATATGCAAAAGCACGAATGTAAAAGAGTACAAGTTAAAGAATCGCAAGAGTAGTCTGGTGAAGTGACATAGGGAGAATGCAAACGGAGAGGCTGGGTGAGACTGGAAGAGGCTGAAACACCAATTACTTCCTAGGTACCACATACAATGAGGAGAACTTCCACATGTAGATGACTGCATCACAATACAGCAGTATAAAACCATAATCCAAGCACACAGGCCCATAAAAAATTGTCAATGTAAGCATGACTGATAACTGATCGAGTGACCCATAATATTCATTTGTCACATATTATTTAGTTGTATTGAAGGTTTGCTGCTTACTATTGCTTGTTAGTAATTAATTCTCTAAGCAGGCACCAAATGTTTAATAACTTATTTGGGAAATACCCTTAAAAATGAGAAAATTCTAGTAATTCAGTTCCCAATAATTTGGGAAAAGACTATATTGTTTGATTGTAAGAGGCAGAAAAATTCAGAATACTAGTTTCCAGTAAGAGAATAAATAAAATAAGACTCAATGATTCAGAGCTATGTAATAGGAGATTTGGGAGGCACTCTTTCAGACACCAAAGTCAGGTAGTAAGTGCAGCAAGAGATTTAACTAGCAGCCGTGGCTATCCAGAAAGCAGCAAGGAAACAGGAAGTAAACAAAACATTTGCTTAACAACCAAACAGAGAATCCAAAACCCATGTGTTTTATTTATAGAGGAAGTTCCTGAAGTCTTTCATCCAAGACTTTTAATCTTATGCATAATTTTAACAGAGAACCTGTATCCTCACTCCTAGTATATTAGCCTTAAAAAATGGAGGTGGGTGATGGAGGTGGAAGTGAGATGTTACATTATGGTTCACTGACAGCATAAGAAATTAAGTGATAGCCTAAACATAAAGAGAATAGAGAAAAAACATATAAAGCAAACACAAGAATATGAAAAGCAACAGCAGTCCAAGGCATTTAGCTGGAGAATAAACAGCTGCACACACCCATAGCAACCCTGAAAACATCACTAAATCAGAGCATTATATAAGATTAATATTATCAATGACAGACCCAAGTCATCCAGAAAACGTTAACTTACGTTCAATGAACTCTTTTTAGAAGGCAGGAAAGCATGTAATACATTTTGGAAAAACCCATCAAAATAGTTAAAGCAACAAACATGGATGCTTAAAATTGTAGTCTTTAGTAAACTTCATATAATAGAGTTCACTCCTCCACTGTCATTCCAACATGTTAAATTTCTTAATGCCTAAAAACAATGTAACTTCTAATGTGTCTATTTTATACCTAGAGCAGCCTAATCATTTTATGCTCATAAGATTACTGGATAGAACTGTGAATAGACTTTGGGTCTATGAACTCCCTAAAATTACATAAAAAGTTTTGTGTCTAGTTTGCATGTGCATTTTTCTGGAGGGAAGGGTCCAAAGCTATCATCTGATTCTTAGAGTCTAAAACCAAAAAAGACTTTATAATACTGGCTTGGATTAGAAAATACTTTGAATGAAAGAGAGAGAGAGAGAAAAAAAAAAAAGCTAATTTACTCATGGAGAATGACTCACCTTAAATTTTATTTCAATGTACCGTTCCTATAAACATAATTGGCACATTGTAACAACTATTTTAAGAATGCTACTATGTATGTGAGAACATAAACTATAACTTCTAAATCCCTTGAAGTATGCTCAGCATAAGGAAATGCTGTCTGGAAGGGCAAGTATGTAGCCTATTGATCTTCAGTTATATTTATGTGCCATAAAAATTATCTGGATGCCTAAAAATAAAATGCACTTGGTTTCTTATGTCTTACTAATGTATTTGGACATAAATAGTTTTCTGGCTAGGCCATTCAAAGAAATTATGAAACAAAACATTTTTCTTATCACTCTATTCTTCAAAAAACAGTCAGTCTACTTGGCACTCTACATTCTCTTAAAAATAGTCTATGTTTGGTGTTTATCATTTTAGAACTCAAGGCAGAAGCTCTCTTATTTTACCTAACAGATTTGATGGATTGACTAAGACTCCCCATTTCCTCTGTAAAACATACTAAATGATGTTCATGGGATGCTAAATGCTGGTGGTTGCTAGGCAATTATTTATTAATCCTGTATCCTTCTGTTCCATTAGTTCAGCTTTTTGTTTACCAATTCTGTTGGGTTTGTTCCCAAACCTATTTATGCCATTTTCCATGTCATACTTATAATTTACTAAAATATATTTAAAGTGTCGGTCCCCTAGTAACAGATTTACTATTTATTTAAAAATTAGGCAAGTGCTTTGAAAAGCTTTAAAAAAGGAAACCTACACAAATAAGGTTGATTTATATGAGGTTGAGACAGCTGTAAAAGATTAGGATGACTATCCTGAAAATCTAGAAGAACTTACATGCATATATGCATAACCTATGTACACAGACAGTAGTGTGGTGAAGGCCTGAGAGGGGAATGTGATGTGAGCGGGGAGGTCAATGGGGGAAAAAAGAGGGGACATATGTAATACTTTCAACAATAAAGATAATTTTTAAAAAAAAGTATTCTGTACTTGGATTATTTTTCAAGTATTTAAGTTCTAGCTCCAGTTTGGAGAAATCAAACTGAAAACTAGAGGTATAGAGGTATGCATTAGAGGTATATTTGCACAAGGCAGACAAAGGGGAAATTCAATCTATAGAACCATATTTTTAAAAAAAGATCTTTAAATCAGTCTAGAATGAATCTGATTCACTACCTATGGTATAACTGTGAGAATTTTTGATTGATATTAATGAGCAAACCACTAAAATAGTCTCATTTATTAGATACTGATTCTTACCAATTTGGCTCTGAGAGTTAAAAGAAACTTCCAAGTTCTAAGAGGTCTTAATGTTATTTCTTATTGATTATAACAGCAGGGATTTTTTTTAAAAACAGAGCATGTGAGAGAAAAATATAATTTACATGGTGTTGTCAAATATTTATTGCATTCTTAGTATGTGTGTAGTATTAGTGAAAAGGTTCACTAGAGTCCCATTATGCAGCAAAAAGAAACTTTTACTAAGAACCAGGAAAAGACCCCACAATAAAGCATAAACACAACTACCTGGCTGTTTGTGGTAGGTGAGTTCTCTGCTTGTTAAGCAGAACCACCGTTTCTTGAAATTCTTTTTTCCAATTCGAGTTCTTCCCTGAGCTCTTTTATACATCTCACTGCCAAAACAACAGATGTAAACATTTAGTTACAAATATTAAAAAGTTAATCCAAAACAAAAAACTGTCTTTTCATTTTAAACAGTATTTATAACTGTGCCATCCAGAACTAAAAGGGCCAAATGAGTGATTTTCCCCCTTAACTTTCAATGATAATAATACTTTAAGACTGAATAGACTTTTCCAAAATAGTAACTCTAATTTGCTTAATACCCACAATCTTATTATATTTGCAAAACAATTCTAGGACTGTACAGATAAGGAGTCATGCCCATCTGACAAAGTTTACAGAACAGGGAATGACTTACCTGATGGGTGCTACTTAGGCAGTTGTAGCACAGAACCTAGCCCCCTTCGCCTGATTTCCTCACTCCCAGACCCATGCCTTTTGTACTTAATTAATGTCTATACTAAAATGTGACTTTAATGTCTAATTTCATTGAATTACCCTTCTTTCAGGTGCACAGGCTCACTCGTACCACTGGATTCTTTAGTTTCAGTAGATGAAATTTCATCCAAGAACTGAATGGGCAAATAGGCAAATATTACACTTAGTGATATGATGCATCATAAATTCAGCTTATTTCAAGTGTCACTCATAATATTGTAAAGTTCTTCAATATTAAGAAATAAACATAATTGTAATTTATAAAGCAAAACACATATTTAATTGTAGAATAATTAATAAATGATAGATATTCTAAAAAGGTTAATCTTAAGTTATTTAAAAACCAAAATAAGCCCTAGCTAGTTTGGCTCAGTGGATAGAGTGCTGGCCTGTGGACTGAAGAGTCCCAGGTCCAATTCTGGTCAAGGGCTGTACTCCAGTTACAGGCTCCTCCCCGGCCTGGGCCCTGGTCAGGGCATATGCAGGGGGCAGCCAATCAGTATGTTTCTCTCACATCTATGTTTCTGTCTTTCCCTCTCTCTCCTACTCTCCCTAAAAATCAATGGAAAAATATCTTTGCGTGAGAATTTAAAAATGAAAAAATTCAAATAAATAAAAACCAGAATGTTTTTTCTCCTAAAACTGGCTGCGAATTACCCGCCAGAATCCACATTCTTCAGTGGGATGTTTATTGCTAGTTTGCTAGAAGGAAATCTTGGCAAGTGAAAGAATGAGAGCAGAGTTTCTCCTGCATTACACATGTGTGGGTGATACAGAGGCATATCTAAGGGAACTGAAGAAGTGTCCTATCACATCTTTAGTTCTCACTTAAACCACTCGCTAATGGAGTATAACAGACTTACCTAAGGGTTTCATTTCTTAATTTTGACTGAAGGCACTGATTTATTTGACAAATATTTATGATAATTACATTTATTTGTTATATATATAAGGAACTATGGAGTAAATACAGTTAGACAAAGTGAAAGGAAACACAATAATTAAGATGGACTATAGATTCCAATGTGCTCAGGGCTATCCTTGTCTATAACTGTGGTCCCAACATAGTCAAATAGGATTCCTTTTACTCTTGAAAGTATCCAGGTTTGGACATGAAATTATATGGTCATTTGTTTACAGACCTATCCAGGTTCACTTCCTAAACTCTGTGAGACTAGCATAGGATTCAGCATTATAACCTATTCTCTTCAGGAGTGGTGGCCAATGTCACTAGTGAAAATAGTTAAGTGAGAATTTTGGTTTATAAGCTTTTCCCTCTTATAGCACTGCACATATCCAGTGAATAATAGTGAATAATAAAGAAAACTCCTATATCAGGGCAAAATGGCCTATGCTAGCTTAGGAGCCTAGAACCAAATCTGTGGCAGGAGACATATAGCCCACGAGATTGTGAGTGGGTGACTCAGGGCAGGCGAGGAACAGACTAGACACCTAGCACCCTTACATACTTTCTCCACTGACCGACCTTATAAACTCAAAACATTCTGATTATACCAGGGAAAATAAAATCAGATGCTGCTATGGCCTAGGTCATAAAAAATTGAAAAACAACTGTAAAACAAACAAAACAGTAGATCATAATCTTGCCAACCAAAGTTTGCCTATACTGTCCCACAATGTCCCATAAATAAAAGGGCAGCTTTTTCTCGGCCTATTCTTTTGAAATACTTTCTCCTCAAAAGCCTTCAATGGTTGTTTAAAATAATTTTGGTTGAGCTCCCAGATTCCAACAGGCTTTAATTTTTTTTAAATTATCATTTTCATTTACTGAGTCTCGTATGAATTTAAAAAGTACAAACAAATTCTACAAAATATTCTTTTGGCAATCAGCTGTGAATCATGTTGCAGAAATTGAATGAAATCTTTAAAATTTGCCATTGCTAATTTGAATTCACTAAGTTATAACTGAGGCGAGTTTAGATATATACTTCAAAACAACTTTCTTAACCAATTTTTAGGGTATTATAATAATGTTAAATTTTGTTTAGAATGATTTAAAATTAAAGACTTGAGAAATTTTAGATCCTTTCAAAACATTTTCAGCCCTAACCAGTTTGGCTCAATGGATAGAGCATCGGCCTGCGGACTCAAGGGTCCCAGGTTCAATGTACCTCGGTTGCGGGCACATCCTCAATAGGGGGTGTGCAGGAGGCAGTTGAGCAATGATTCTCTCTCATTGATGTTTTTAACTCTCTATCACTCTCCCTTCCTCTCTGTAAAAAAATCAATAAAATATATATTTTTAAAAAATTTCAGTTTCTAAGAATTTTTGTATATTGCTATCATAAACCTATATTGTTTATAAAATGTCCAATAATTCAAATGTTTTTTACTACTATATATCAGACACATACTAAGTCTTTATCCCTATACCAGAGGTTCTCAATCAGAGGCAATTTTTGTCCTTAAGGGGTCATTAGGTTGTTTAAAGAAGTTTTTGGTTGTCAAATGAGAGGCATGTTACTGGTGTCTAATTGTGGAGGCCAGGGATGCTGCTAAACATCCTAAAATGTACAAGATAGCGCTTCACAATCTAAAATTACTGGTACTAAATTGCCAATAGTGCCACTGTTGAAAAGCCCTAAGTCTGGACACTTATAATTTGTGTTATTAAGACATTGACAATAGTAGCTATTGCCAAAACTCATTTAGGTGTTTTCAAAGCTAAAAAACCCATAGTTTTGAATGGGAGGAGAAAGTGGGGAAAAAAGACAGCCTTGTTATAGTTGATGGATAGTTTTACATTATTTTTTTAAACTAAAGATTAACTCTTAGGAATATTATGAAGTGTTATTTCCCAATGCTCTACGATAAGAAATATATTTCCAAGGTAAAACAATCATACCTTTTTAACTGCTAGAATGTATCCTTCCTCTTGAAACATTTTGAAAAATTCACACATGAATGTCTCCTTGAAACTTGACTAAATAAAAAATACACACAGGATTTATATATATTAAGTAGAGAACTAAGAATATAGTGGACTATATTTTTAATAAAGCTGAGGATTAAGCCCTAAAAGGAATCAATCATATATCTTAAGAGAGTTATAGGGCTTGGAGCTGAAGATGGCCTCAATAGCTATTAGATGATAATGGTGCAGAAGAATAAAAGGAGGCACTAGCATCTATTTACCAGACCCGCTCCCCTTCATAGAGATATTAGTTAAAATTAATCTGTCTTTAACAGGTGACTAAGACACAGAAATCTACCTAAAAGCTACTGCATCTGTGCATACTATGCATTTTTGGTTTTGCTCTGCTTTTACTTTAGAAGGGAATGAGGTAAGAGAGGAGGAATCACAGGGTAGAATTACATTTAGAAGTATGAATACAAAGCAATAGATGGAAAGACTTACCTTGCTTTTGGACAAACTCCCCCAGCTTCCCAAAGTCTGAATGGTTTTTGAGATGAGAGTTAATGTTCTAATTGTTGGTGCATCCTAGAGAATGTAAAAAAGACATAAAACTCCCGTTAAGTTTTAAAAAAACAAAATTTGTATAAAAAGTAGAATAGAGTGAATAGGCTACATTGCTCTACAAACAATGACTCAAAAATGTTCATCCAATGCAATGTAAATAGAATCTTGCTAAGGATGGGCACAATTCATTGGACTAAGGAATAAAGAGACTAAAGAAGCCACATATAATTGACAATTCCTCCAAAAGTAATTATATTTATGATGTGTCACTTTTGAAAGCTATAATTTAATCAATATTACATATATGTTGTTTTGTATAGTATGACAGCTTGAATTACCTAATAAATTGTATTCACTTTTGAAATGTCAATAGCATCTACTTTTTTCTACCATATAACTTAAAATGTAGTTCCCAATCCACTTCTAAACACATTCAATAATTTATATGGTTGGATAAGCAATCAAGACTTTCTACCTGGAAGCAAAGACCTAAATTCAAATTAGGCAATGAGAAGTCACCTACTTCATATCAGAGGGTAACAATTAGGGTCTATTATCCAAGGTGGAAAGAGTGGCCTATTGGGTCAATGTTAATATAACCCATGTTTTAAAATTAGTGTTTTTAGAAATTATTCATTCATTATACATATGTGTACATGTCTGAGTGCCTGTGGTTTAGCAGCAGTCCTAGCTCACTTTTGATGTATTTCTTAGTAAAACTACACTCACCTATTTATTCTTTAATCTTCTGCAATCTGATTTTCTTCTCTTTTACTATACTAAAACTGGCTTCCCAAAATTCACAGAACTTCTAAATGTAAAATCCAATGAACTTTCATTAGTTTTCCTCCCCAACTACTCTATAAATTTCAGCACTGGTCTCGACAAGGTCATCACCCCAGGTTCCTGAGGTCATCCCTTGCTCTCAATTTGTATAGTATGAATTGTCTATACTTTTTACCTGGTGCTAATCAGGTGTTAGTTTTAGATTTATGTATGTAGCTTTAGATTACGTACTTTATGTATTTGCCCCATTTACCCAATTAGAATGAAAGTTTCTTAAAAAGAAGGGATAAGGTTATACTTAAAAGTAAACAATACTTGCCAGCATGAAGCAAACATCCTGGCATATGAAAAGTGATCTAAAATAACAAGAGTTTATGCTTGGAAGGACTTTATTGCAACATCTGTTACAGGAATATGCAAACTAAAGTCTGAATATAAGGCAGGGTCACAAGCTCAGGGGTAGGAGTTCCATTTATGTCCAGAGCACTGCTGCGAAGCTCTTGCTTCACGAGTTCAGTACAGCTTCAGCGACAGAGTCACAGACAGAACAGCATGTGGACAAAAGGACACTGGCCCTCTCACTGCTGCAGCTACTCACAGACCATTTGTTCTTTGACAAGAAAGGAATGTTGCTGCCAAGGCAGCATTGTCCATTCAGTTCTCAAAGTTAAATGAGCAGCCAATGTCCAGAGGAGGAGTAACCCTCAGAGCCCAGTTTAACTGCCAAAACCACAGTCCTCTGTACACTGTATCAGTCAGTGAGTTTCTTAAGGATAGGGAGGTCTTTCCCATCATGGCCTCATGGCCAGTGCTGAGCAGTGTTTGATGCAGTATAGTTGTTCCAACATCTAACTGCCTAAGAGGGGTAAGCTCACACACTGGGAAGACTGACTGAGTCAGAATTTGATTTAATTTCATTCCAACTGAGTGAGATCAAATAATAATTTATTAGTTGTTTGACCTTGGAGATGTTACTGAATTGTGATTTGCTTATCCGCAAATGGGGACGATAACAGAATTTACCTCACAAGGTTATTGGGAGGACTAAGTTAAAATATATAAAATACCCAGGACAAAGCCTAGTACAAAGTAAGAACTAAATAAATTTTGGCTATTATTATTTGTTATACATATCAACTACAAAAGCAATCAGGTAAGATTATAAAATATTTGGGAAATAAAAGGTTAAAGAATTAGCAGAAATACACTGTATAAGAATGAAACACAAACAAGAAAAGTAAAAAGTTTTAAAGCGTTAAGAGATGAAAATCTATGTGGTGCAGACTCCTGTTTAAGTAATTAAATAGAACTTCACAACAAAAAGATTATATGCTTTAAAAGAGTTTTAAACTCATAATTACAATAGCATTTCAGGTGAATAAAAAGCAAAAATATGGAGATATAAAAAAAAAATGTTCCAATAAAAGTTTCTAAACATTTTAGAAATGAGCCTCTTTAAACTTCTGTAAGATTTAGCTGAAATCGGTTTGGCTCAATGGATAGAACGTCGGCTTGGAGACTGAAAGGTCCCAGGTTCGATTCTGGTCAAGGGCATGTACCTTGGTTGTGGGCATATCCCGTGGGGGATGTGCAGGAGGCAGCTGATCAATGACTCTCTCTCATCAATGTTTCTAACTCTCTATCTCTCGCCCTTCCTCTCTGTACAAAATCAATAAAAAAATATATTAAAAAAAAAAAGTAAATGGGAAGACTGTACCTAAAAAATAAAATATCTGAAATTTACACAATCACTGGATGGATTAAAAAAAAAAGAATGCCAATGACATAAGAGTAAGTGAACTTGAGAAAAAAAAAAAAAAAAAACTTCTGTAAGATTTAAAAATATCTGCAGTTAAACTAAACATATAACTAATTTAAAAAACTATCCTTGTATTATGGAAATTTACAAACATACACAACAGCAGATGGAAAATGTAATGAATCTTCTTTGTATCCATCACCAAGCTTCTGTAATTATCAATATTTTATTACTCTGTGTATTATGTTTTAATAGCAATAACAAAAATAGAATTTTCAGCCTTCTCTAAAAGACTAAAATGGTTAAGAAAAATGCCCAGTGAATTTAAGTATAAGAAAACATAGCTAAGTGAAAGTGGCCTATTTTACCTTTTCTTCATTTAAATAAAAATAAATAAAAATGGAATAAAGCTTTGAGAAGAGCAACACTTACTGGATGGTGAGGTCGCAAATGAAAAGTATGAGGTGATACTACGGCTACAGCAAAGAAACGAAGAAATACAAAGCTGCTCACTGCAGAATACTGAACATGAGGGTCATCTGCAGGGAAAAAATGGTGAAATGTCATGTACAAAAACACTTTGAATTAAAAAACAAAGATGACAAAGTAAAAAATATTGAGAAAACATGTAAACTAAATAGGAAATCAATATAATTTGCCTCGTCAGGACTGAATTGGTGAAATGATAGTGACGATTATGACTAAATTAAAAGAAAAAATCCTATAACTAAAAAAAGAAATCTATAAGCACTAATAAAATGAAAGGCAAAGCCGCTAGATTTTGAGAAATATTTTAATTTGGAAACACTTCTTTCCTCAATCTGCAAGAAGAGTCTCCTGAAATTACAACAAAAATAAATGTAGTATCTAGCACTACCTAGTGGCAATACTGAATTCCTGATAGGAGATTCTCAGTTTTAGTTATTGTTTTATTTTCCCCTCAAAAATCTAGATAATATCAAAGACTCTGCCATTAAAACAATTAGGCTAAAATCTTTAATTAAAAAAAAAAACTATATTCCATACAAAACCACAAATGAAACGGAGACAACTTGGGTTTGATCATTAACCTCCAGCTTTCGTTTAAGACTGAAGTCTATACTTAACCCAACAATCAGATGGGAAAGAAGCAGGTGGGGAGAGCAAGAATGTCTGGATTTGGTTTGAGTTTTAATTCTTCTAAGTCACACAAAAGGCAGTCATGGACAAGCCATTTATTTGTAATTCTTCAATACTATCTGCTCCCCACTCATTGCTTCCCTCCTTCCCAACCAATCTTCTTCCCAGAGTGATAAGGACACATGAGAAACTATAAAAATACTTGGTAATAAAAATATCATTACTGTAATCAACTAAAGATATGAAAACATTAATATTTAAGTCAACAACAAGTCAGTCAAGGAGATACTTTTGCACTTACGAAAAATAAAAAAAATATGTTTTAGATTATTTACATAAATAAGAATTAAACAGATAGCCGAAACTGGTTTGGCTCAGTGGATAGAGTGTTGGCCTGTGGACTGAAAGGTCCCGGGTTTGATTCCGGTCAAGGGCATGTACTTTGGTTGCGGGCACATCCCCAGTAGGGGGTTGTGCAAGAGGCAGCTGATCAATGATTCTCTCTCATTGATGTTTCTAACTCTCTATCCCTCTCTCTTCCTTTCTGTAAAAAATCAATAAAATATATTTAAAAAAATAATTAAACAGATAAAGCATATTTTAGGCCAAGAGCACTGGGTAGAGTACTGTGACTACTGCACACTTTGGAATAAACTAGACCCAGGTTTGAGAACCTGCTTGTCCACTGGCTAGGTCATGGATCTTGTGCAATTTACTTAAACTTCTCTATATCTATCAATACCTAAGAGGACAATACCTGCCTCATGTGGTACTATGTAGATGATAGTAGGAGATAATACAGGCTAGCATGTATCTGTTCAGTCATGAAGCATTCAATGTGGTTACCATGATCTAACTCCAAATACCAAATACCAAAATGTAATTTCAGTCAGTATTTCATCTTTCCATATGTTAATTTTTCTGCTTCTCTTATTTTTGTTTCAAAGTACTAAGGAGAGGTTTAAGTGTTTACATCTTCACTATAATTAGTAAAGTCATCTAGGTCTTAATTTATCTACATGCTAGTTGGACAATTCAGCCCCATCACTTTAGCACTGGGTAACTTTAGTGGAAGATCAGGTAACTGCACATACATGTGAACACATTCATACACTTAAAAGAATGTGATATGCCTTAGCTGGTATGGCTCAGTTGGTTGGTGCGTCGTCTGGTACACCGAAAGGTTTCAGGTTCAATCCCCAGTCAGGGCACATACAACATTATTATTTCATTCTCAAATTGATGTCTCTCTCCCTCTCCCTTTCTCTCTTTCTAAAATCAATAAAAATAACAACATCTCTTCAGATGGTTATAGAAATAAACTTAAGGTTTCACACAGCTGGGTAAGACTGATAATTTAAGTAGTTGCCTAATCTCCTCCCTCTTTGCCCTATTCCAGGTAGATTGGGAAAGACAGCTACAGTAAGTTTACTTACTTATCAGATATGCATATAATTAGAATACTTCCAAGTATTGACAGAGATAGCAACTCTTAATTTTATAAAATGTTTCTACTAAGCAAAGCCTTGACACTGCTGCTGTGTAAAATTAAAACCAGTTACTGACATATGTACCTCAAAATTCTATGTATATTACAACAGAGATTTTTTTTTTAAAAATTAAATGTATTTTATTGATTTTTTACAGAGAGGAAGAGAGAGGGATAGAGAGTTAGAAACATTGATGAGAGAGGAAAACCGATCAGCTGCCTCTTGCACACCCCCTACTGGTGATATGCCCGCAACCAAGGTACATGCCCTTGACCAGAATCAAACCTGGGACCCTTGAGTCCACAGGCTGATGTTCTATCCACTGAACCAAACTGGTTTCGGCAACAGAGATGTTTTTAATGTCTAAAACCATTTCTGTAAAAACCTATCATCCCCAAAACCTATAATTCTCAAACTGTCAGATCTAGTTAGTTATATTGTACTAAAAATTTTCACTATCTGAATGTATGCAAGTAGAAAAGGGAGTTGGTACAAATAACAATGGTGTTTTGTTTATTATATTTAACAATCTCATAAGCACCTGGTATAAAGGTTAATTTATATAATGTTATAGTTCTAAATTTTGCCTTTCTTAAAAAGAATGCTGATTTTGATTTGTATAAAGTTGTCATTACATTAAAATAAAATATATGTTGTGAGATTATAAGAAAATTAAATCAGGTGTTTCATAAAAAACAAGGACTATTTTGAAAAACTAAATAAGACTGTACCGCTGAGACCGGTTTGGCTCAGTGGATAGAGCATCGCTTTGCAGACTGAAAGGTCCCAGGTTCGATTCTGGTCAAGGGCATGTACATTGGTTGCGGGCACATCCCCGGCAGGAGGTGTGCAGGAGGCAGCTGGTCGATGTTTCTCTCTCATCAATGTTTCTAGCTCTCTCCCCCTCTCTCTTCCTCTCTGTGGAAAATCAATAAAATATATTTAAAAATAAATAAATAAGACTGTACCGATAAACCATAAGCCATTTCACATAAACCAAACACACAGTAAATCTATAAAAAATTATATACTGAAAAAGAAAGGGCTTGTTTTAGTAATACAAGGCACTTACTAGGAAATCTTTGAGCAGCCATTTGCCGTAGAGAGTAAAAGATATCACACATTACAGTGGGGCAGCTCATACTTGATTGTATAATTGTACTGAATAACTTGTCTACATAGTAGCGCAGATTTTCCTATAGGATTTAAAAAGGTAAACATTAAGATTTTGGCTTTTACACATCTTCAACAGACTTCATGGGGAAAAAATGCAATGAAAACAAGCTCAATTAGGCAGTCACTAGCTAGTATTCTAGAGCTCTTCTTCCCTTCTCTAAACTCATTCAGTTAAAGGACAATTTACAGCTTGAATCCATTTAATATGTTAGATTTGGACTAGGTAGACATAAGTGATGTAAGGATTAAACCGCACAAGAAGCAACAGAAAGTATAATGACCCCAGGGGAAATTAGGAAAACAACTCAGATACGCAGGCACATAGACACTGTGGCACTGTTATCTGCTGCAATGAAAACTTGTGACTCTTCCCAGAGGCAACTTTAAGTGTTGGCTGACCAAGTCATGTGCTACTTAGTTGATCAGTTTGAACCTAAAGGACCAATCAGAATGAGGCTGCAACTAGATGTAGCCTTATTCCACTATTATTACTAGAGCCAAAAAGAGACAATTAAGAACAAAAACAAAGTGAAACTTGATAAAGAGATAATATTTAAAAACTAGACATAGGAAATGCTGCAAATGGCATAGGCATTATGTAAAGAATAAAAGGCACTATTCCCTCTACATAATATTACTATAACATAAGTGGGAGATAGGTATACTTTTAAGGCCAATTTTAACGGAATTATGAAGAAAACAAGGGCTTACCTTATTATTTTCTACATTATCTCCCTCTTTCAATCTAATAGGGTCAATTTCACAAGATTTTGAGGATTCACATATCTGAAGAATAAATTAATTTTTCATTTAATGCTTTTTAAAATATTTGGCAAAATGAAAATATTTTTCTAATACAAATTATAAAAATTAAAACTACAAACAAAGTTTAAAACCCCCATCCAGAGATAATATATACAATATTCCTGAAGAATTATATAGAAAAAAATTTCATATATTTGAAACTCTAGCTAAACAGAAATCTAATAACAAAATAAAAACTAATTATGTAGATTATACTATAATGTGTCCTTTGGTAAAATTCCACTGATGAAACAGTAGATAACTGATATTACTTCTAAAGTGCTCAGCCTTATTCTTTTAGTAATACATGAATGGGTATATCATCCCCATCTATAGTTCACTAAATGAAACGTGCTATAAGGCCATGCAAACTCTTGTTATCCGAGTATGTTTATTCATTCCGTACCTCATCCAGAATAGGTTTTAATGTTACTTTCAGGTAGTGCCCTCCCACTATTTTCATCATCTCATCTAGACATCGGGTAGCCAAGGAATTTCCTCTGAAAATTGTGTTTGCATCTCTGAAATACAAGTAGAAATAAGGTGACAATAAATGTACTAAACAGTGGCTGTCAATAATATGAGATATCTGACTTGGTCATATATACAATCTTAGTAATTTTTACCATCCATTTAAAAGCTTGCTGCCTTTAGGATTTTTAAACTTATAAAAACTATTTAATGAAGAGATAAGAAAAACAATTAAAAAAAAAAAAAGCATCAGATGGAGTAGCTCATTTGGTTAAGTGTTGTTCTGTGCACTGAAAGGTTGCTGGTTTGATCCCCAATCAGGGTGGGAGACGGAGGGTAACAGATCAATATTTCTCTCTCACATTGATACTTCATTCTCTCTCTCTCCCCCCTCCCTTTCTAAGGATATCCTCAAATGAGAATTAAAAAAAAAAAAAAAAAGCAAACATATTTGTGTGTATAACAACACTGTAAGACTGTGATGGGAACAGGAAGCCACCAGATTGTGTGTTTTTTTTTTTATATGTCACACCTGTGCACATAAGGATAATACCTAATGGACAAGGAAAAAGAAACTTCTGACCTGGTATTTTGCAGCATGTGAATCATTATAATAAGAAGCAAAGACTAGAAATAGGAAATTTTGACACTGAGTTTAAAAACACACACACACACACACACACACACACACACATTATTAATTGTTAATTTTACTGTTGGTGGATACGGTTTGCTAACTTAAAGAATTCCCTTTTATTACATGCCAAGCAGTTCTTTATACTATGATACAGTAAAGCTGATCAACACAAAAGAAGTAAGATTACAGAAACAGTTTGAAAAATTAAAGTTTAAATTCAATAACACACAATACTTAATATAACTCTTACTGTGTATCCTTCAAGTCTAATTCAGCCACTGCAGTGGCAAAAGGAACAAGTTTATCATGGTGCAGCAACAGTCGTACAAGGGGCAAAACAGCATCATTTTTATCTCGACATATTTCACCCAAAATGTAAGCAGCTGAGGCAGATATTGGCTGGAATATAGAAAGGTAGAAAACAGCACAAAATCAAGAAAATGTAACTAAATCTTCAATCACTAGTCTATAAAAGTAATTCAAATATGTTCACCCTATCTAATAAAGAGGTAATATGCAAATTGACCATCACTCCAACAAAATGGCCAAAGATGACTCCTCCAAGTGTACACAAGATGGCCACCACAATATAGCCTGCAGGGAAGGACCTTTCAGGGGGGACCCAGGCCTGCAGGGGAGGACAGCTGGGGGAACCAGACTTTCAGGGGAGGACATTTGGAGGGAGACCAGGCCTACAGGTGAGGGCAGTTGGGGGCAACCAGGCCTGCAGGAGAGAGCAGTTAGGGGAGACCGGGCCAGGAGGGAAGGGCAGTTAGGAGCCACCAGGCTGGCAGGGGAGCAGTTAGGCATCGATCAGGTTGGCAGGGCAGAGGTTAGGGCAGTGGTCGGCAAATCGCGAGCACATGCGATTCTTTGGCCTCAAGTGTGGTTCTTCCACAAAATCCCATGTGCAGGTGCACACATACAGTGTGATTGAAGCTTCGTGGCCCATGTGCAATAATCGTTTTTTGACCTGGGTGAGTCTATTTTGAAAGAGTGGTTCTAACCTTGAGCCACACTCAAGGGGCCAAAGAGCTGTAAGTGGCTCGTGAGCTGTGGTTTGCCGACCACTGGGTTAGGGGATGATCAGGCTAGGAGGCAGAAGCGGTTAGGGGCAATCAGGCAGGCAGGCAGGCAAGCGGTTGGGAGCCAGCAGTCCTGGATTGTGAGAGGGATGTCTGACTGCCTGCCAGAATCAGGTCTAAACAGGCAGTCGGACATCCCTCGAGAGGTCTCAGATTGGAGAGGGTGCAGGCTGGGCTGAGGGACACACACACACACACACACACACACACACACACACACAGTGTGCACAAATTTCGTGCACCAGGCCTCTAGTCTATATATATAAAAGCCTAAGCAACCATTACAATGGAACGACTGGTCGCTGTGATGTGCACTGACCACCAGGGGGCAGATGCTCAATGCAGGAGCTGTCCCCAGATCAGCATGCTCCTACAGTGGGAGTGCTGCTCGGCCAGAAGCCGGGCTCATAGCTGGCAAGCACAATGGCAGTGATGGGAAACTCTCCTGCCTCTGCAGCAGCGTTAAGGAGTAGTGAACCAAGTGGTAAGGAGTGAGCAGGCAGGCAGTAAAGAGCGAGCAGGCAGGCGGTTAGGAATAAGCAGATGGGCGGTTAAGAGCAAGAAGGCGGGTGGTTAGGAGCAAGGGGTCCCAGATGGCCAGAAGGATGAAACTGGCAATTGGACAAGGGGTCCTGGATTGCCAGAGGGAGCAGGTCAGGCTGAAGAGCCCCCTCTTCCCTGTGCAGCAATTTCGTTACCAGGCCTCTAATTAACTAAAAGAGAAATTTAGAACACATATAGGAATCACAGTACTGTCGTTCAGATGAACTAAATATACGTCTGTATATATAGGGATGGGCAAAAGTAGGTTGAGAGTAATTAATAAAGTGGGTTTACAATAATTAATAAGTTAATAATATAAAAATAAACTCTGTTGCTTGTACTTACACCTGTAAACCACTTTTCCCCAACCCTGTATGTGTGTGTGTGTGTGTGTGTGTGTGTGTATTTATTGTCTTAATAAAACTTGACACTCTGAAATCTTTTCCTCCCCCTTTACATAACTATTTTAGCTTTTTAATATTAAATTATATACTTCAACTTTTTAAAGTACCTGAACATCTGGTGATTTTAGCAGCAAAGTTTTCAAAGGACCATAGTACTCTGAAGGAAGCACATAATCTTCTGTGTAACAGATATTCAATCGAAGAGACCCCAGGTCATCAGTTTTAGATGACTTGTTTCCATTGTCTCTTGGCTGTAGCAAGTACCTAAAGTAAAAATGCAGTCAATTCCATGTGATGGTAATGAGCTGAGCATCCAAGTTGGTGAGGTACATAAACAGCTAAGCTATAAAAAACTAAACCAAAAGTCATCTAATATTTAAGGAGAGGACAATTCATAAGAAGCAGACTATTAATTTTCAGAGGCTTAATATTGGTTACATATTGAACTAGAAAGCTATCAATAGATTTTTATATAAAAACAGAAAATATAGCTAATACAAAAATTAAGATCTCAAAGGATTGAATAAGAGTTTGATAAGCTTGTGGGTTTAGAAAAAATTTTTTTAATTCAATTATTATCAAAATTACTTCTTTTACCAACTAAACTTAAGAAATATGCATTTAGTTGAAATAGACACACTACACAAAAAGGCATAAGTGATCTTGTTGTAAATTCTTTTAAAAAAATTTTATCTTTATTGTTGAAAGTATTTCAGATGTCCCTTTGTTAGTTTATTTATTTTCCCATTGACCCCCTTCACCCTGTCCCTGCCCCTCACAGGCTTGCTTTAAATCCTTTATAAAGCAAAAAATTTGAACTTCCTTTTTAAAGAAAATTAGTGATTAAAAGTTTATAAATAGATTTTTATATTATTAGAGTAACTGTGTAACTACTGAAAATGTTTATTGTAAAAATCAGATTTACTTTTTTTTTTCCAGTTAAAAGTAAAAAAAAAAGTAAAAATAGAGACAGCTTAAGTATCCATGGAAAGAAAAATGTTTAGAAATCAAGATGTTTGTAGGACTAAAACCTGAAATCTAATAGGTACTTGCAAAATATTTCATTGTCCTACCTATTTCTTGGGGAAAAAAATCATTTTTTTTTCAATGAGTAGAGAGCACTTCAATTTTCTTTTAAATATTTTATAGGCCACTCAAGTCTTTGCTGATAGCTTAAAACAGAGTATTTTTTAGTTTTAAACATATTCAAAAATATGTATGCCAAAGTACAAATTTATTATAGTACACTATAAGCCCGGTGCACAAATTTGTGTACAGGTGGGACGGTCCCTAGGGGGACTGGCCGGACAGGGGGTGGGGCTGCAGGAGGTTGGCGGTGGGAGTGCACTGACCACCAGGGGGCAACTCCTGCGCTGAGTGTCTGCCCCCTGGTGGTCTGTGAGCATCAGAGCGACTGGTCGATTGGTCATTTCCATTGTTAGGTTGTTCAGTCGTTAACAATCACATATATATATATGTATGTATGTATGTATGTATGTATGTATGTTAGTTAAGAGCACAAACTTTGGGGTCAGAGAGTTTGGTTCAAATCCCAAACTGTATGACCTTGAGCAAACTCCTCAATCTTTCTGTGCTTGTTATCTGTTGTTAAACAAATGGATAATAATAGTGTCTAAATGATTTAATCCTTACAACAACTCTAAAGAGGTAAGTAAGCACATAGAAAATGCCTGGTACACAGTAAATACTATGTAAATGTTATTTATATATATATAACTGTTACCACTTAAATATATAAATAACTCTAAATAAATATAGTTAGTTATAATATCTATATAAATGTGATTTATTATTTTAAAACTTTGTTACAAAAGGCTCCATTTAAATTACCTGAAGGATAGCTCATAAATTAAGGAATTTTGTATAAACTAGAACTAAAGGGAAAAACCTCAGGATATATTAAATAGAAGCTATCTGGTATGTCTAAGGACTAGAGATAAAAAAAAAAGAAAGATCTGAAATACATTTTTTCTAGTTTTTTGAATAATGTTTTTCAGTTTAAAAGAGTAAGAAACATGAAATAAAGATAAATTATTACATGAATGTGCCAGTGAGTTGTTCTGCACCTACTTTATTTTTTCATTCATAACTAGAGAGGCATAAAAGTAATCCTTATGCTCGCAGGAGTTGGTAGTTTTGACAGTTCCTTAATATACTTAAATATCAGTATTTGAAAATTTTATTTTATTTTTTAATTAAAATTTTTTTTTTTATTAAGAGCATTTGGAAATTTTAACCGTAAGGTCTATATAATTGAAAATGAGGTAGGTAGGCAAAACTATAATTATTTATTCATAACATACAAAGCTAGAAAATACTTGAATATTATTTCTGATTCCATAAAGATAACCATTATCAATGGATTTTTACTAAAATAGGAGATTAAAAATTAGGTGCTCAAATTGGCAAAGTATGAAACCAACTCATCTCAAATTAAATATTAATCTACTTTTAAATATGTGTAAGTAAATATTTATTTTATGTGTGGGAAAAAAACCCTATCATTTGTTTCATTTACTATTTGAATCATACTTTCAAAATTAAAAGTTATAACATGAGAATATATTTATATCTATTTTCTTTTTTTTTTTCTTCTTAATTTTTATTGTTCATATTAATACAAATGTCCCTTCCCACCCCACCCTCTGCCCTTTCCCCACCCCCCATTGTCCTCATCCATAGGTGCACAGTTTATGTTCAGTCTCTTCCCACATCCCCTTTTCCCCAAGAATCATCAGTTCACTCCCCTTCCATACCTCTGATTCTATTATATTCAACAGTTAATATTGTTCATCAGATTTTTTTTTAATTTCCTTGGTTTTTAGATTCACTTGTTGATAGTTACGTATTTGTTGTTCATAATTTTTGTCTTTATTTACTTTATCTTCTGAAAGAACCCCCTTCAGCAATTCATATAATTCTGGTTTGGTGGTGATGAACTCCTTTAGCTTTTTTTTATTAGTGAAGCTCTTTATCTGACCTTCGAATTTGAGTGATAGCTTTGCTGGATAGATTATCTTTGGCTGTAGGTTCTTACTATTCATCACCTTGAATATTTCTTGCCATTCCCGTCTGGCCTGCATGGTTTCTGTTGAGAAGTCAGCTGACAATCGTATAGGTGCTCCTTTATAGGTAACTATCTGCTTTGCTCTTGCTGCTTTTAATATTCTCTCTTTGTCTTTTGCTCTTGGAATCTTAATTATGATTTGTCTTGGTGTGGTCCTCTTTGGATTCCTTTTATTAGGAGTTCTGTGTGCTTCCTGGACTTGTAAGTCCAATTCTTTCCCCAGGTGGGGGAAGTTTTCTGTCACTATTTCTTTCAATATGTTTTCGATATCTTGCTCTCTCTCATCTTCTGGGACCCCCATAATTCTGATGTTGGATCGTTTGAAGTTGTCCCAGAGGTTTCTTACATCATCTTCAATTTTCTGGATTCTCTTGCCTTCTAGCGACTGCAGAGGAGTATCTTCTGGCTCTTTATGTTCCAAATCTTTGACTTGATTCTCAATTTTCTGGATTCTCTTGCCTTCTAGCTTCTGCGGAGGAATATCTTCTGGCTCTTTATGTTCCAAATCTTTGACTTGATTCTTGCGATCTTCTATTCTGTTTTTAGGCTTCTGTATAATAGTTTTTATTTCAGACAATGTATTCTTTATTTCTTGTTGATCCCTTTTCATATCCTCATAAGTCTCATTTATTTTATCGGCCTTTTCTAGGAAACTCTTGAAAAACCTTATAAGTGTGGTTTTGAACTCTATATCCAGTCGCTTTTTGTCCTCCATTTCTTTCGTTTGTGATCTATTTGGTTTAGGCATTTTCGCAGGCAGCTTCCCTGATGGGGCGGGGTTTCAGGGTGGAGCCTACAGCTTTGGCTTTCGTCAGCCCCGCCCTATGCGACTCCTGAGACTCAGGGTCCTTCAGTACTTGTTGTAAGCGCCTCTGAGAGAAAGGTGCCCTAGATTTTCGCTTGCTGCCAAACAGTCTAGTCTCTCCCCCAATGGTCCCGAAACTGGGGTTCAGTTCAGTTGGAAGTGGAGTTGGAGGTGGCGTTCAGAGCAGACTGGAGCCCCTGTCTCCTTCCCGCCAGGGCAATCCCACGGCACAGCCAACCGTCCCTTCTCTGCGCGGCGCCGCCAGGACCTCCTTTCGCCTCTTCCCCGGGGTTCAGCCTTTCAGCCCGGCTCCCTCTGTGTGAGCCTGGGTCCCCGGGGTCTGGCCTAGGCCTGGGGTTCAGAGCAGTCAGAATGGGAGCCAGCACATTCGGAGCGTTTATCTCCTTCCCGCCAGGGAACGCCCGCCAGGCACTCCGCCTCCCTCTTCTCCGGCTCCGTCCTCTCCGCGCGCCGCGTGTCTCCGTACCTTAGGCTTTTCCAGCTCCTCCGCGCTTCCTTCTGGTTTTCTCCTTGCTTCTCGTTGTGGAATTTCCAGTCAGTCAACTTTCCTGTAGTTCTGGGTGATGTCCATTTTATATTTTAGTTGTATTTTGTTGAAATTGTTGTGTGCAGCTCGGCTAGGTGCCTACCCGAGCAGCCATCTTGGATTCTCCGCCATACTACCTTAACAGACACCAAAGCCAGACCTTGGGGCTAATGCCTTTTTCACTCCATGTCTATTTTCTTTTCTTAATGTACACTTTTACAGTTTTAAATCATTTGGGTGCAAATTGTACCAATCTGTGTAATTTTACAATGGTTTTACATACATTAAGTTCTCTGACATTGAGGTAACTGGTAAAATATGATTAAACTACATTCTTTTTATTTGTAACATTCCAAACAAAGGAATACTGATATAAAAAAAAAAAACCCAGAAATTTTATATGTACTGATGCAGAATAATGGTAATGACAGCAGCAATAACTACAATGATGAGAGCATGAGTTATGCCCATGGCCATAACATTTGCGGATCACTTTATTTAAACTCATTTCACCCTTTAACAACTTTGGGGTGCAGGTATTAATGCTATTACCCCTATTTTATATTCAAAGAAAGCAAGGCAAATAGGTGGAGTAATTTGTCCAAGGTCACACCGGTAGTTAATGGCAGAGATGACTTTGGACCAAGGCATTGGTTCCAGAGTCTGTATTCTGGCTAGGGCTAGAGTCTTAACCACGGTCAGAGACAACAAATACTTACTGAGATTCTACTAAATTGATAAGTGAAAAAAAAGTAAGATACAGAATATGTCCTTTTGTGTAAAGAAGAAGGATGTATGTGTATTTGTCTGTATATACATAAAATATTTTCAAAACTCAAAATAGCCCTAACCGATTTGGCTCAGTGGATAGAGCGTCGGCCTGTGGACTCAAAGGTCCCAGGTTTAATTCCAGTCAAGGGCATGTACCTTGGTTGCGGGCACATCCCCAGTAGGGGGTGTGCAGGAGGCAGTTGATCAATGTTTCTCTCTCATAGATGTTTCTAACTCTTTATCCCTCTTCCTCTCCCTTCCTCTCTGTAAAAAATCAATAAAATATATATTTTTAAAAACCCCAGAAAACTCATAACAGTAGCTGCCTCAGAAGAAGGAAACTGTTTGGCTGGAGGACAGAAGCAGGTGACATATTCTGTTTTTTGAACTGTGAACCATATGTTACTTATTCAAAAAGTCAAATAAAATTCTAGTATCTATATAGATTCAAGTTAAAGTTAACTAATATCAACATTAACAAGCTAATCTTAACATTTCATAGAAGTTTCAGAACAAAGCACACACATCATTACTATGGAATTGAAGAGTCAAGAAAGGAATGGGAAATGTCTGAATCATGTTTAATTTGAGATAAAGTCAAATTGGAACCATTAAAAATCAGTTTTCAGCCGAAACCGGTTTGGCTCAATGGATAGAGCGTCGGCTTGGGGACTCAAAGGTCCCGGGTTCGATTCCGGTCAAGGGCATGTACCTTGGTTGCGGGCATATCCCCAGTGGGGGGTGTGCAAGAGGCAGCTGATCAATGACACTCTCTCTCATTGATGTTTCTGGCTCTCTCTCTCCCTTCCTCTCTGTACAAAATCAATAAAATATATTTTTTTAAAAAATCAGTTTTCAGACAAGGATTATAATAAATACTAAGTAGAAATTCTATGAAAAAGGAAATTGATGCTTTAAAAACATTACTGATCATTATTCTCTATCTTTCATAATATCAAGATTAGAAAAAATATGCCTTAAGTCTTATAAGGTAAATAAAGCTTTTCTTGACTGGTCCTGCAGTTGCCATCAATCCCACAAGGGGATGCTATAGCTCTACAACTGACAAGGTAAGACAACTGGAGGGTAAGACTGTGTGTGTGTGTGTATATATATATATATATATATATATATATATATATATATATGAATAAATTTAATTTCTGTTTGTTAGTTTTCTTCCATCCTGCTAAGGTAGTTGGACTAAGTTTTGCCACATTTGGAGGGCCTTCCTGGAGATAATCTTACCTAATATACAGGCTAAGTGGCACATTTCAATTTCACTTTGAGGGGTTCTAGGAGGCACAACTTACTTTTTCTTTTGTATTGAGTAGTTTGACATATTATTTTAAAAACCACAAAAACTGAGTTCTAAATTTTCATCTTAAAATGTATAGCACTTTATGAAAGGTGAAAGAAGACGTGGGGCTGGGGGTGGGTGGGAAGGTAACAAATATTTATTAATTTTTCACAGTGACTAATTTTTCCCTCTTCTGTGAATGCAGTTGAGAAATTATAACATACAAAACACAACCATAAAGGCCAATAAATATTAGATCTGTACTAGCAAGAGCTAAAAATAAAAATTTTGAGAGTCTAAAAATCAGTCTTCAGGAGAGAACTGCTTGAGGACAACGGAGTCCAAAGTGAAGAATGTCTGATGGCCAACCAGGAGAGGCAGGCTCCTCTGAGAACAGAGGAGCCTGGTGCCCATGGTAAGAAACATCTAACACTCATTTTCAACTCCTCTTCCGGGCAACTGAAACCGAGTTCTAAAAGGCAGGCCCTAAAAGTTTAGTAAATGAGAAAAAGCATGTTCTTTCACACTCAGCTGAAACATTAAACTGGTGACGTTAAACCAGTTTAGTGACGTTAAACTGGTGCTAAACGAAACTTAATGTTTGGGCCTTAAATTGCTGTTCGCGCCGAAAACGGTTTGGCTCAGCAGTAAAGCGTCGATCTGCGGACTGAAAGGTCCCAGGTTCGATTCCGGTTAAGGGCATGTACATTGGTTGCGGGCACATCCCCAGTGGGGGGTGTGCAGGAGGCAGCTGGTCGATGTTTCTCTCTCATTGACGTTTCTAGCTCTCTATATCTCTCCCTTCCTCTCTGTAAAAAATCAATAAAATATACATTTTTAAAAAATTGTTGTTCGCTTCCTTCGCATAACTGGTCTGCAGCTATTGTTTGTTCTGTTTATGATACTTAGAAGCTCTATACCCTGTACTTTCCAACAGGGTGCCCCGCAGCCCTCATGCTGGACTTGGGTTTCAGCTGAGTGTGAAAGAACATGCTTTTTCTCATTTACTAAACTTTTAGGGCCCGCTTTTTAGAACTCGGTTTCAGTTGCCCGGAAGAGGAGTTGAAAATGAGTGTTAGATGTTTCTTACCATGGGCACCAGGCTCCTCTGTCCTCAGAGAAGCCTGCCTCACCTGGTTGGGCATCAGACATTCTTCGCTTTAGACTCCGTTGTCCTCTAGCAGTTCTCTCTTGAAGACTGATTTTTAGACTCTCAAAATTTTTAGAATCATAAAAGGTAAAATAATGTTGGGACCACTGCCGACCCACCAGAGTCCGGAAAAGTATATTAACTGAATCAGCTCAATACCCAGACCCTAGACATTTAGAAAATAACATCAGGGCCATCTATCGTACGTTTCAATGGGGTGTGGTGAAGAACCACTGGTTAGAGCCCATAAACAGCTGATTCCCTACAATAAACCCTTTGCCTTCAAACATCCATAGTTTTCATGACCATTAATGAAACTTCTCAACTGCAGATATTAATTTGTAACCATGCATTGTCTTACATGGGCAACTCTTATGTGATATTTAAAATGTTTTCCATTTCCCCTTAGAGATAGGATTTAGTTTTTGAAGTCTTACTCTATTTTTTTAAGCTTAGCTCCCATTATTCCCTTACATAAACCTTCCAGTCAAATTACTACTTGCTATCTTTGGAAACAACTTTCTGTTTACCTCAAAATGCTCCTTCTCTGCAATACTCTTTCCTCTGACTTTACTAACTCAACTGGAGCAGAGCTCATCTGGTTCCCAAAATCTCCTATAGTTTTTGAATTTAGACAATTTAGTACTTTTGTCTCAGTACCAGAGCTCAAGTCACAAAACTATCAATGTACTTATACAATGAGTGGCCAGATTATTATGACCTCTGAACGCATAATAATCTGGCCACTCAGTGTATATCTTACAGAATAAAAGCTAACATGCAAATTGTCTCCTCGACCAGGAATTCGACCAGCAGGCAGGCCGGCCAACTGCCCATGTCCCCTCCCATGGCCAGCTGGCCGAACCCTCACCCATGCGTGAATTCATGCACCGGGCCTCTAATATATATATATATTTATACACAACAAACACATTGAGTGGCCAGATTATTATGTGTTCAGATATCATAATAATATGGCCACTCAGTGTATTTCTGCAAGAATAAATTAATGACTAGATCAATTAATGTTAATGATTTTGGCTTATTTCATAATGATTATTATAAGCACTTATTTGCATGTACAGAGAGTTCACTAAAATGTTTGTCTTCTTACCAGGCTTGATGGGAGGTATCATTTCTTAACACGTTCACAGGAACCTTAATCTCCCCTAGGAAGATATCTTGGACCAGGTTTCCATTGTTCCACAGGTCAATCCTGAAAATTTAAAACTGGCTTTATTTGTTTGCAAACAATGCTTAAGAGAACTCAAACCACCAAATAGCTTCAAATTATTTTGATTTGGATCACAGCATTAATTTTACATGCTTAAAAGAGATGTTAGCATCTTCATATATCTCACTATCTAACTAAGAAAGCAAAATATCACAGTAGCTTTTATATTTAAGTAAAGTAACCATTTTAAATAGTCTAAAAGAAAGCACTTAAGTTTCTTAGTTTCAAAGTCTAGGTTTTATTTTAATATTTTAACTTGTAACAAAAAGGACTACAGAGTTACTTTGTTGAATTGGAGAAAAGAAACTACAGTTTCTCAATTAGAATCAGTTAATGTGTAAAGATAGACAATTTAGAAAAATATACTACCCGATCATTCCAAACATGTGATTAACATATCCTTTAGATGAACACACTGTTAACACCACACCTATACATGCACTTACAAAAACTTTCCCCTTCCAAACAGCACAGGTATTTATGATCTAGGAAATGCACAAACTTCAAACACATGCACCTGTTGAGTTATCTTACAAGACTTCTTACCTCACTGAAATTTCTGTTAGACAGCAGATATGTTAAGAAGAATAAAAACATTATTTCTAATGTGTAAGGCTAATATGTAATTACTTTTCTATATATATACTTTTTGTATCCATTATGCTATGATTCAGAAATTTAAGGAGCAATTAAAATTTAAAAATAATATAAATTAGGTGAAAATTAGTTCATCTTTGTTTATAAGACTATTTCTATTATAAAGACTGTTCTGTCAAGAATCATATTTTGGAAAGATAATTTGGATTGAAGTTAGATGCATGTTCCTCTAAGTTTCATCAACCAACTTGCTACAAAAGAGAATTCTATTAAGAATGGTTCACCTTTTCCAGTTAAATTTAGGATAATTTTTGGCACAGAAAAAAGAAATTGTGTAAAACTCCAAGACACATACCTAATTTCTAGCTTTTCAATGTCCTCCTCTTCTACCTGGAACTGGGATTTTCTGGTGTAACTACTGGATCTGGTTACCTGTAAACAGAATATTCTAGTAAAAATTTTTTTTGAAATATCTTTTACCTTCATGAACTTAAAATTATCTTTAAAATCATCTTTAAAATCTTTGATTTTATTATAAACAGAGGAAAATGCCTAGCAATATTTTAGCCCAAAAGCTAAATGTAAAATAGCCATGGAAGAACAAGGTGGTATAAAAATATCAAAAGCTCTGGCAGGGTAGCTCAGTTGGTTGGAGCATCATCCAAGACCCCAAAATGCTGTGGATTTGATCCTCTGTTGGGCACATATAGGAGGCAACTGATGGATGTTTCCTCCCTCCCTTCCATCCTTTCTCTGAAATCAGTAAGTATATGAGGATTTAAAAAAATTACCAAAAGCCTCCACACCCTTCTTTATCAACTCAATAAAAAGCAACATTAGATTCTCTGGCTCAACTGTAATCTGGTGGTGACTCAATGAGTGTTGCATTTCAGTGAAGCTGCATAGTCCCGTATTTCTCACGATCCCTATGCCACCCTTATACTTCCTTCTCACATTTTTACTGAAAATATCAAGGCCGTTAGCTGGAACTTCCTCAACTACAACCTACCTGAATTTGTCCATGCCCATTAAGTCCTTTCTACTTGAGTTTTCTCCATCCTCTTCGCAACAAGATAGTATGATCTTCCTCTTTTCTTAAACTACTCCACCCACACCTAATACACAGTAAGCATTCACTTTTTTAAAAGAGAATATTTATTTGGTAAATCACAGAGGTAGGAAAAGTAATTCCTAGAAGGAATGGGCTTCGAAAAAATATTACAGAGCAGGCATGGGGACCTATTTTCTGCCAAGGGCCATTTGGTTACTTCTATAACTAGAGGCCCGATACATGAAATTTGTGCAAGGGGCTCAGCCCTCACAGCCCCAGCTTTGTCCAGAAGGACATTCTGTTGTTCAGTGTAATTAGCATATTAGCTCTTTATTATATAGGATTGCTAATATAATTTATCTCATATAAATTTATGTTGCTATGAAAAAGCTCCTAGATTTATTGAATTTCAAGTCCAGCCTGTGATTGCCTTGGCAGGGCCAGGCCAAATCCCACAGGCGGATGGTTCCCCATCCCTGGCATAGAGTAAAGGAAGGGCCCAGGGAGTCTGGGAGTCAGGAAGTGAAAGATAAGACCCCTGGGAGGGTAGGGAGGAAGAAGAAGGAGACGGGAAAGGCATGCTCCCGGGAAGGAGCGTGCACTGGGTCCTCTTTCCTAAGAGTTTTAAGGGTTGAAGATTTTAGGGGAGATTCTGGGGAAGATTCTAACAGAATATTTAGCAGCTTTCCAGCTATGTCGTTTTAGGGTTGTGGTCTCCACTAGTTGATTTAATTACCGCTTTCTTCACCAGTTTGTCATGTCACTGAAGGCTAAGAAAAATTCTCCCCTTAAACTATGGTCCCTTTATCGCCTTCCTTTCTCAGACAAATATCTGAAAACCATGAAACCATCTTCACTTCCTCACCACCCACTCACTATAGTAACTCTTCATATCTGACTTCCTCACAGGTCACCCGCCTAAAACCCTGCTCTTAATCACCAAGTCGGATGATGGATTCTTAGTTCTCACCTTCACTGACCCCTCTATCTGAAGGAGCAATCACACAACTGTATCTCCTTTTCCAGAAACATTCTTTTCTTTGCGGTGTCCAGGCACTACCCTGGCAACCTTCTGCTCTCTCCGCTTCTTCCTCTGGTACCTCTTTTTCCATAGAACCTAGGAGTATGGGTTTTCTCTAAGGTTTTATTTCTTATTTTGTCCTAAGGACCTGCAAGTGCTGCATAGTTGACAAAGTGCTTTCAGATCCATTATCTCCTTTGTTCATCAGATCACCGCTCTGAAGCAGGCAGCTAGATTTATTATCCTCATCTCAAAAATGAGGAAGCTCAAGTACAGAAATGAAGAGACGTGCTCCAAGTTGAATACCGAGTGAGTGCCAAAACTGCTTGTCTTCACTTTCCTCCTTTACTGTGGCCCTACCTCTTCCCCCTGCCTTTCTTGCCTCTCTGTAAGCAAGTCTGGAGTCTTTATTTGCACCTGTCCTCCATTTTAAGTTTCAGTCACAAACTGCTTATTGGAGGATTTTACATCCCAGACCTCAAGCTAATTATGCCCCAAAATGAACCACGTCTTTTTTCCTTCTCTTGATTTTTCTCTTTCTCAAGATATGAAATCATGAAGACAATAGCTGACTCCTCCCTTTGTCTTTGGTTCTATAACTAATCCACTGTCTTGCCTTTGCCATTCCTTTTTCATCTGTCCCTTCTTCTCTATTTCCATATTACTCTCTTGGATCAGATCCACTTCCTCTCCTCCCCCCTACCTTTTTAAATCACAATCTCTTGATTTCTGTTCTCTCTCCCTCAGCCATTTGGTCCACAGATCATGGTTAATTCTTCCCCAAATACTGCATTACTCTTACAGTTTCCAGGTTCAAAAATATTTAATGGCTAGCATTTAAGAACCTCAGGCAGGCACTCAGGATCTTTGATTGTGGCTTTCCTTTTGTTGTTGTTGTTGTTAACACCTGAGGATATTTTTCCATTGTTTTTTAGAGAGAGTGAAATGGAGGGGGACGGGGGGGTGGGGGGAGGGAGGGGGAGAAATAGAGAGAGAGAGAGAAACCTCAATATGAAAGAGATACACTGATTAGACACACTGATTAGCCTCCCACACGTGCCCCGACCAAGGCTAGGGATTGAGTTTGCACCAAGGCACATGCCCTTGACCAGAATCAAACCAGGGACCCTCCAGTCTGTAAGTCGACACCCTATCCATTGAGCCAAACCGGGTATGGTCTTACTCTATCTTTTTAAGCTTAGTTCCCATTATTCCCTTACATAAACCTTCCAGTCAAATTACTATTTGCTATCTTTGGACACAACTTTCTGTTTACTTCAAAATGCTCCTCTGTAATACTCTCTCTTTCCTCTGACTTCACTAACTCAGCTGGAGCAGAGCTCATCTGGTTCCCAATATCTACATCATTTTACTGCTGCAGGTACACTTGCATGTGTGTTTTGTGTCTCTTGCTCCACTAGCAGACATTGAATCTTATCTTTACAATCAGTTCAACAAAGTGTCCTTTGAATGAATGTTTCAGGCCTAATAGGTATGGTTGGATATAATAAGCAGGTCAGGTCTTGATTTCCAGAGGGCCATCTGCTTGCTCCAAGTTGCCCCTACCTTTTCTCCAGGCTGGATGTAACAACCATTAATGAACGTAGAGTAACAGAACTAAGTTGTTCTGGCTTCACTGTGGTATTCAAACAGTACTCTGCAGAAGAGTCCTGTGGTCACTGTCTGTCAGGGGTGTGTGTGTGTGAGGGGAGGGTGGAGGGTTGGGTGAGCTGGGGAGACGCACAGAGAAGGATGTGATATTGAGGATGACATGTGATATTGAAGTATGCCCCTAGAACTCCCCATCCCCAATCAATCAATCAATCAATCAATCAATCAGGGCTCTGCCTTCATTTATTTTACACACTGAGCCTCAATTGCATTGCACCTTGGCTTTCCTGCTTTCAGAAGAGAACTGTTTAGTTGCATTAGTTGGTGAAATGATTACTATGGCAGTAATTTGAAAAAAGAAGTAAATCAACATTCAATGTTAAATGTTAAAATTTATATAAAATAGAAAGTTACCTCAAAATAAAAGATTTCATTAAACTGTGGATTGCTTGTTTTCTTCTTTACTTTAGTCTTCTTTTGGTCATTCCTGTTCCAATGTGGTAGAGTTTTACCTTGTAGAACTTAACAGCACACAATTATAAAACATGCTATTTCCAACCAGGGAGCCTGACCTCTGTTAAGATGCCTCAGGAAGACTGCACTTTTAAATACTACTTGGGGGAGGGGGTTGGCAAATGAGGTGTCTAAAAATTCAAATCTAAGAATACACAAGTTTTGTGTATCTGATATTTAGCAAAACTGTATGATTTTCTCTGTGGCTATACCAGATTGACTGCCAAGCTTATGTCAGAGGTTTTTAATAACACATTCTAATATATAAGCAACTTAGAATAAATGGCAGAAGGAAGACAATGAGATTCAGAGTGCCTTTATCTATGTTGAAAAATACCTGAGAAACATGAAAAGCACTCAATTTAGTTTCTGGGCTTCAGCTACAATGTGGCTTTATTAAAAAAACAAAACAAAACAAAAACAAAAAAACTTCTTATTTTGAAGTAATTATAGATTCAGAGTAAGTTAGAAAAAAATAAGGAAGTCCCACACAATCTTTCCCCAGCCTCATCCAATATTTTATATTACAATATAAAAACCAATATTGATTTTTTTATAAAAAAATTCATATGCCAAACAGTTTCTATCTGTATGTCACTAAACAGTTACACTTAAGAATTTGCTTGTCAGGTATAGATTACAAAGACAAAAAACAAGAACAGCTCAGCCAGGTTAAATATTTTTAACATACAAATTTCTCTGACAGCATGAAGGATTGGGTATCTAGCTCCTTTTATATTTAAAACCATGTATGTTAATAGCGTACCACTGTTTGAGTACCCAATAAATACCAGGCCTGATGAGCCAACGAATCGTAATGTAATGTAAATATCTGTTTTCCAATGGTCTCAACCTGTGGGAACCGCTAGCAGGACCGCCTAAGACCATCAGAAAACAGATATTTACATTACGGTTCATAACAGTAGCAAAATTAGTTATGAAGTAGCAATGAAAGTAATTTTATGGTTGGGGGTCACCACCACATGAGGAACTGTATTAAAGGGTCGTGGCATTAGAAAGGGTGAGAACCAGTGGTGTAGAGGGAATGTTGTGCTCTGTTTCCTGATTCTAAACCTTTCAGTTGTAGATAAATTTCAAGCTAGTCAGGCTCTGAAAAAAACCATAATGAAGTAATAAACTACAAAACAGTACAAAGTGCTACAGGCTTCCCGTAAATTAGCCTGACTAATAAGTAAAACCCATGGTTTGGTGGGTGCGCTCCATGTCCTGGCACTTGAGCACTTTGTCCATTACTCTGATTCTCTCAGCACAAATGCTGTGAGTAGATAAGGCAGTTTTGGCCTTGAGCTGCTTTCCAGGTAACAATATGGAAACAGCCTTATTCTGAGGAAACTGCCTTATTCTGCATAAAACCAGTAGGAAGGCTGACAATGAATAAAGAAAGTGAAGACATTTGCCAGTAGGAAGGCTGACAATGAATAAAGAAAGTGAAGTTTATGTTTTCAAGTACATATTAACTACTATAAAATTGATGTTCTTTCCCCACAGCCTAAAAGTCTGGCAGATTTGAAATGATACCCATTTTCTTTCTATAAAAATAAAACTTGGTTGTTACATGTGTATAATAGAACTCACTAAAGATTTTTCTTTCAATACATTACTTTGTGTCATAAATAGTTACTTAGCATTTGCTTTTAGAACCTTAATTTTATAATTCTTACATCAAACTTTAAAACTTAAAAATCTTATAATTTAATAAATATTACCTAGAAGGGCCCACTAGAGAAACTGTTGCATAAGGGTCACAGCTTTGTCCATTTATGAGAGGCAACCCATGGCATGCCTTGATGCTAAGGAAGAATAAAAGAAAATTAAGATATAATATTCAGGTTAGGCAATATAAGACATTATTTTTAAATACAAATTAACATATTCAAAGAGTGAAAATTGTTTTCCACATGCTTGATGTTGTATGTGTACATACAACGCCTACCTCAAATATATGTATGTATGCAAGCATTTATTTATGCTAGTATTCCAAAACAGGATTATACAATAATACTTAGCACACATGATCTGAGACTACCAAATAATATTTAGCACACATATCCGCACTAAATATCTAACAAGGTACATTTTGTGGTTTGACAATATATATTAAAACTGCTGTGGCTTCTAAAAAGGAAAAGAAAGCGGTGTGAACCTTAAAGATGAAACTACAAAACTTAGCCAGATCTATGGTGGCACATCCTCTGCTAAAACATGAATGAGAAACAAAGAAACAATTGTGGTTTCCCCTTAAAATCTGATTCATAAAGGAACGATGAACGATGCCAAGTACCTGCCAGGAGGGGAAAAAACAGGCTTTGTGGGCCCTTGGACCTCCTGGGTGGTCCAGGGTATCCTGGCCTTTCTCTGGAAATTTCCATCGGCCCTAATGCTGGTTGTACTTTGAGGATCTACATTTGAACCTGATGGAGAGGCCTATGCATCACATGGAGCATCACAAAATTCACTGACTTCACAGCCCAGTTTCTGACAAGTACACTAGACCTGTGGATAGGAATAACTTTCACTGGTTTCAGTGAAAATGTTTCTTAATCATGTAAATTTTCAAATTTCATATTTGTTAGATATCTTGAGGAATTAGAGGGGCCAAGTCAATACTTGAAAAATGGGAATTGTAACTTGGCCTCTTTTCCTTTAAACTTATCCTGAGCTACCCTGTTAAATAAATTTGTGCTGCCAATTTTTAGATGTTCTATTCTCACAGCAACAGGCTGTGATGTCAGAGGGTTATTTACCACAAAATTGATTTAAAAAAATGCTAGACTATGAAGCAGAAAGCTCTGATTTAATTGCATGTTATTCAACTATCATGTTATATAAATAAAAATGAAAATAGATATAGAAAATAAAAAAACCTCAAAATAACAACAACAACAAAATCTGATTCATATATGAAGGGCAAGCCTCAGATGATGCTGTATGTAGCCTTTTATTCTGATTCTCAGTAACAGGTCCTGCATCATTCTGTTGAAAATGTTTTAAACCATAAAAACCGAAGGCATCTAATCCATTCCATGGGTAACAGCAGTTGGTATTTAAAGAGATCACAGAATCTGACTCAATGACCTGCTCCTCAAATTTCCTCATGAATTATTACTGAGTTCATGAATTTAGATTAATATCTGCATTTCCTAATGCCTCAGAGAAAGTCATCAGTGCTGCTGAAAAGTATTCTTCACTGAAAGATGTGGGCTACTGAGCAACATCCTATTTCTCTCAACCCACAGATCATATATGTGAAGTACAAATGGTGTACTGCTGAGTAAAGAAAGAAATGATAATATGACTCATTTCTATTAAACTGGGTATAAAAAACAAATTTTAAAAATTTCTGAAACTAACCAAAGAAAGCACAGGCCAAGATAATGATTCTGGTTATTAATGTTAGGCTTAGGTACAGTCAAACTTTCCCACTGTACATGCTGTGTGAATCTTACATTTCTCAGGCTAAACCTGATTTTTATATAGCGTTTGAGTTTACTGTGCATTTTCACAAAACATATCCAGTTCTCACAATTGCCTCTGAGAAGAGCATCAAAGAGTACCATCATGCTATCTTAAAGAAGACTCAAAAGGTTATGTAAGAAAGTAACAAAATAAGGCTAACAAGGTAATAAAAAATTTGTAAGAAGTGGGCCAAGACTCAATTTCTACTTTCTTAATTGTGTCTGAAATCTAGCATACTTCTACCTTTTCCCAGTGCCTGAATATATTGTATTACTCTCCCTGTAATACAAAATATGTCTTATGTAAACACTATTTATGAGAAATCTAAATTATAGAAATTTACTATAATTTTATGAAGTATAAAAAACTGAGAAAAATGCAGTATACAAAGACTTCTATGATAATACCCAAAAACAATGATACTTACAAGTCTATAAAAATCATCAGAATACTCAATTTTTAAATGTAAGAGTTTTGTGATAAACAAGTAATATTATAAATATAGGTTATTTTATTTGCTACATATATTATGAAATACTATGTTTCTAATAAACAGGATACAATTATTCTTCTAATTGGTAAACCAAGCAGTTTCATATCAAAAACCATAGAAGAGCAGAAAATGTTGAAAATATTCACCGTAGTATACTATGTAGTATATTATCTTATATCTTGTTTATACATCACATATAAAGATTGGATATTAATACATTTATTTTTAGAAATTACAAAGGAAAATACACTTAGTCCAAACTAGTTAATAATATAGAGTGATTTGAATCTTTTCCTTGGAGATATATGTGTGTGTGTGTGTGTGTGTGTGTGTGTGTATTTATGTATGTACATATATGTTTATGAGTATGTATACACAGACACATATATATATCTTGTGCACATATATATATATTTAAATGTATTTTATTGATTTTTTACAGAGAGAAAGGGAGAGGGATAGAGAGCTAGAAGCATCGATCAGCTGCCTCCTGCACATGCCCCACTGGGAATGTGCCCACAACCAAGGTACATGGCCCTGGCTGGGATCGAACCTGGGACCCCTCAGTCCACAGGCTGATGCTCTATCCACTGAGCCAAACTGGCTAGGGCCCTTGAATTTCTTTATTTTATTTTTTTTAACTAAAAGACAAATGTTAACTTCTACATATAGCCAAGATGAAAGAGCAGGGAATAGATTTACTCTCCCAACAGAAAAAAAAATATTAAAAAAAGGACAAAATCAGTAGCACAGGATAGTCATTTCTGAGGAAGGAATAAATAAGGTGAGCCCTCCAAATGTCCCAGCTTACAGTTATATAGTTTTCCTGGGAAGAAGAGGGAGAATTGTCAGTTGGGAAAGGCCAAAGTGACTTGAGTTTCTAGGGCAGAGTGCTGAAGGAAAAAAAACTGCACACAGAAAACAAACAAACAAACCCCAGAAAGATACAAGAATGCCGAGTGTTGATAAGCATACACTTAGGAGGAAACTACCTGAGGCTTGGGAAAGAACCATTTGATAAGAGCAAAGGGAACAATTCCTGAAGCCCACAAATGGCTAGAAGGAGGTCTAACCAGCCACAGAAAACCTGGTAATTATCAGGGGTTCTACCTCAACAGTGGGAGAATATAAGCCCTAGACAAAAGGCCAACTCTTATTCCATCTAATAAAGCTTAAAAGCAAAACACAAAAGAATCAAACTATTTTCAAGTAATTTAACTGAGCCCTTAAGTATATACATGGGAATATATACAATAATATTTAGCAACTTCACAATGTATAGTTACAATAGAAAATAAGCAGAAACACAAAGAATAAAAAAAATATGACCCACATGAAAAAGAAAAGCAATCAAGGACCAAAAATGACATGGATGATAGAACTAGTAAATAAGAATATTAAAAACCAGTTATTATAACTGTTTCATATACAGACAATAGTTTAAATTTAATTAAAAATGAAAGTCTAGAGATGAAAAACACAGGCCTCACAAGAAAAGCATACTAAATGGGAATAACAGAAGATTCGATATGGCAGAAGAAAAGATTAGTACACACAAAGACAGAGCAATAAACACATATTAAAACACAATAAACACATATTAGTACACACAAAGACAGAGCAATAAACACATGTGTTAATGGTCTAAACATGCCAATTAAAATGCAGAGATTTTCAGATTGAACAAAAAGAGAAAATTATATGCTACCTATAAGAAACTCACTTTAAATATAAAAATTAGGTAAAAGCAAAAGAATGGAAAATACATACTTTGCTAATACTTAATCAAAAGAAAGCTCAGTATGTATATGGGTAACAATAACCCAAATGTCCATCTGTAGGGCTCTGATCGAATGAGCTATACTAAATCTTTATATTGGAATCTTTGCAGTTGTCAAAAAAAAAAAAAAAAAAAAAAAAAAAAAAAAGGTAAATATTCTCTAATTACTCTGACATGAAGTCAGAGTTATGTTATTTTCCGGTTATGTTATTAAAAAAGAGGAAGTTATAGAACACTATACTTTGTGTAAGAATTGAGCGGGAAATGTAAATATATTTTTATTTCTATTTACATATGTAGGAATGTATATTTGCTTATATTTTCAAAAATAGTGAAAGAAAATCCAAAACTTAAATATAGGAGTAAGGAAGCTACAGAGTTGGGAATGGATGTGATACCTCCCCAAATATATCTTATATAAGTTCTGATTTTGGAAACATAAAAACTTTTACATTTCAAAAGTAAAATTAAACTTACGAAGCAATCCTTAAAAATAAAAACCTGAGAAACCACTAATGAAGAAAATAATTAATTTTAAAGGTCTAGAACACAGTATTTGACTACATTCTTAGTGACATATATTCTTAGAACAAATAACAGAAAGATATCTTAAACTTCATTCAGTAACTAACCTACCTGTCAGTGGTAATTGGCAATATTACTTTAAATTTATTTTTTGTCTCACAAGATAAGATATAGAAGATAAGTAATTATGTTAATGTTGTTAGAAATTAAGATTTTTATTAAGAGGAAAGAGAGAGAAATATAAATTAAAGTTATATTTAGAATTTGAATTAGAAACATTAAAAAAGGAAGAAAGATAGCTAGTCAAAATGGCTATATTAACATCAGACAAAGTAGATTTCACAACAGAGAGTTAGAGGGTCATTTTATAATGATGAAGAGTCCCACTTATCAAGGAGACATAACAATCCTAAATGTTAAGCTCCTAACATCAGAGCTACAAAACAAATGAAGTAAAAACTGATAGAACTTCAGGGAGAAACAGACCTGATATAATTAACATTTATAAAAAATAGTCTTTAGGGGCAAAAAGTAAG